TTCGTTCTTGAAGTTGCCGGTCGGTTCCACTATATTACCTACTTCCCTACCTTGTCACGCGACCTCCAACACCGCTGTAGTGCTTCCCATTGGAAGTGTTTGCGTAGCACTTGAAGACATGCCATAATCATAACATCGCAAAGTATTCACCAAAGACCTATAGCTCCCTGGCATGTATCTAGAACCCTTGCTCGTTTACTACGTTGATATGATATATGGCATTTTTGCTGAGGACCCATCGACAAAAGACCGACACAAACAAATACACAAACTAATCAACGGACAAGATGTCAGCTGTTTGAGGAACTAAAATAGCTGTGCCGTTTTAACACCTCGTACAATGCACACAGTTGTTCTTTCTTACATGCTCTTCAAGAACAGGTGGCATATAGAAAGAAATCAAGGAAAAAAAACTGTTCCTGATAGGGAACATTACTTTCAGCTTTGAGTTGACTATACCTACTGTACGTCTAGCTTCTGGTATGGGTTTCAGCTTGATGCCACAGTAACTGGAACACCTATCGCGTCTCGCTTTTGTAGTAGTGTTTCAATTACCAAGTATATCAAGTTGAATGCGCGTACCACAAAACTGCAAGTACACGTAGGTTTTTATCAACATCGAATATAATCGATTGTATCCACTGTATACCCTTTTTGCCGTCACGTGACAGTAGGGAATAACCCATCCCTTGAAACTGCCCGATTCATTGGCATACACCTAGATCTTCCATCTTGAGCCCCTCCTCCCTATATCCTCATCTCCCTCACATCTCATGGCCTTCGAGGCCCGTTCAATCCAACCGCAGCTTAATTGAGCTTTCTTGCGAGGAATCTTGCCTGAGATGTCTGTAAGATCTCCTCCACCCATCCACTAATCTAGCAAGATTCCCCACATCATGCAAACGCAACGACGCTGCGATGCCTTTATGGGAACACCTGATGCCTAGAGAGCGCATGTCTATGAGTCTACACTCATGGCAATCTAGACGGACTCTTGTTGAATAAATCGTTTCGTCCATCGCCCATTCCGAACGCATTCATATTGCTGCTTTGGAACACTTCGACCAACTTTGTAAACAATGAGGTCTTTCGTGCTTTGTGTCTTTCTGTCAGCCTTTCTATGCGTTCTTCTAGTCACGATCCATTGAGCTTCCTAGCCATGCTGCTTTTACCCTAGAAACGACTCAGTCCCACCCAGTGCTTCCGTTGCACATAGAAGGATGAGATGCATCGAAATGAGCTGTTCAGGTTTCTGGAAGGTCCATGAAGATTATGAGGGCGTTGTATCCGTCAGAAAGGTCGACCGACACACGTTGCAGCTGCGAAGTTCGATCCTTACCTTCTTTTTCTTAGCCTTACAATCGGCCTTTGCTGAGACTTCTCAGTCGACTGTGCCCTTATGTTCTTTACAGATATCCCTTATGTTGATTTTCGTGTCTATCACTGCCTGTTGGTCCCTACTAGGTCTCAAAACGGCGCTAAGTCCGCGAGCGAGGCGATCGTGAAAAAAAAAAAAAAAAACCAAAAAAAAACCCCACCCAAACCACAACCAATCACTCACTGCCGTATTCCGAACTTCTGTTCTCCACTGCGGCTAGTGCGTGAATTTTTTGTCTCTTTTGCTGCCCATATAGTCTTCAAATTGGCTGCTAATACAGGGTAGTCACCTCCCATAATCTACCTAATAATTTCGTCACGGTTCAAAAGGAACTCGTTCCCTGGTCCGAGCAACCTGCATGAAGATGGAGGATTAGATTGCTGTCTAGTATGAATATCCGCATCCCATGGCTGCATTCCATCAGTAATCCAAATCACAACAGGGCATTTCTTGAAGGAATCCGCCACGGTAGCATGACCACATCGTTACGTTTGGTGGCTTCTCTCTAACTCTAGTGCGCCTGTTCTCGAGTCTCGCTCCTGGTAGCTCTGCATTGCATAACTCAGACCATTTGCAGGATAAGAAGCTTTTCACTCATAGCTACGGTGTTCCATTTCTCGCCATTATCGCGATCAGCCAGCTGGCCATATAAAGTTGATGACGTTTAGATGATTTTTAGCGCTTGAGCCGGTAAATTCTCATTAAACAACCAACCTCACGGTTTGCACCTGCTGCCCTTGCATAATTGAATCATTCCTGGCGAAGTAGACAAACTCGAAAATGCACATCGCTTGGGGTGATTGTGGCTTCATCTGAAGCATATCATAAATCGTGCCGAATGCGCTTACCACTTTGATTTGACTTGTTTTTCCTTTCTCCAGCCAATTTTATGCAAAATTTCCAATAGACCATACGCACTACTGGTTTTCGATTAGATATCCAAAAAAGCTCACTTAACCAAAGGATCAGCGGTTTTTTTTTCAAAATTGCAAGCTCAAAGGACCTGGAACCAGAAGGTGGAACTAAAACAAGATGTTCACTCCAAACTGCTGACGGATACTTAGCAAGGTAAAAAGGCGTCGGTTCCCAGCACGATTAATTGATTCCCGTTGCGGTCTACTGAACAAATGCGGGACGCATCCTACGAGAGATCGGATAAGGTAGACCATTTGATTTTTTCCGTTTTCTCAAAAAACGGCATCAAAACAATAAGACTACTCAAAAAAGCGTCTTGAGCTGAATGTACAGACCTGGTATACGGAGCGTATTCCTTTTCGAGAGATCTCCACAATTTCACCCGGTTGAACTTCGAAGTTCAGCTTAGCTGAGTTGGGGAGCGCACAAGTCTCTGAGGCCGCAATGTAAGCTATTGGAGTGGCGGTTTTGACTGTAATGAAGGATGAGTATTCATAAGACGACCCCCAAACCAAATGGCCCGTATATCTTTCTGTAGTCGATAAAATGTGCTAGAAGAGGCATGAACTAACGTTCGTTATCGTAAATTGTACCGACACATAGTGGACGGTTGCCATAGGGGTCGCGTATGGCATACAAACGATCATAAGTCATCACCACCAACGAGTAAGACATATTCAGCGACGACATCGTCACCGCAAGCTCCTGAAAATAATTATTCCATATCAATTTAAGAATTTAAGGACAACGAAATACCGTACTAATTCTTAACCACATAGAATCGTTTTAGTGGTTTTCTCAAGTTTCAAGTTCCGAGAAAATGACTATATATAAAGTTCCGACTCCTCATTTCTCGAGCTGTGTGTAGGAGAGCAAGAGGCGGAACAAATCAC